CAGTAACACCACCCATATGGTGGTAGACATACTAGTAGAAAACTTTGCACATGTTTATATATTTCCTTGTGTGCTACATTTGAAGTAAAGCTTTGCACATGTTTATATATTTCCTTGTGTGCTACATTTTGTTTCCAAGTTTATTAGCAAACATTGATAATTAATTACTTTGATTATAGTTTGAATGCAAGTCTATAAAAAGTTGTGATATGCACTTTGACCTACCTGTAGCGAGAAGGTTAACTTGATTGTTTTGGGGTTTAAATGATTTGTTTTTACTGTGTATTTTACACTGTGTCCAGTTGCTTGGTTTTTCATATTCAGTCAGTTTCAGAGATTTTAGAATTACTCATGATAAATATCTTGTCAGATCTGTTAATGTGTGGACTTGTCACTGTTAGGGAATACTAGCAGAAACTCCACCCTAAGTGTGGCTGTTTGTGCTAGTAATTATTAATCGTAGTATTCATAACTGATTGAAAAAATTTAGAAAAAGTGAAAGTTTTCTAAAAAAGGATTTTTTTCTGGGAAGTACTGTTCGAGAAAAGTGTTCAGATTGTTCTCTTTGGTCAAACGCAATTTGTTGCATCAAAATGATTCAATGTACGGAGCTCAAAATGTTCATATATTTTACAGATGTAAACTGTAATGTTTTTATATATATATATATATATATTAAACGTAGTACTGTTTATTGAAAAAATAATAGTTTTTTAAGAACTCCATTTTTTAGTACTATATTTGAAAATTACATCAATAAAGATTATAATGAAACCTCACGTACAGTCCTAGTGAAAGTGTACATATTGTGAGTAGAGTACTTTTATTTAAAATTGTGTTCTATTATAAAGAAATGGTTGTTGTACGTACCGTAGTTATTTTCTAATTGTCTGAATCTTGAATACCGAAAGTGTCAAAGTTTTTGTAGATTTTTGTTTTTGGTGTCATTCAATAGATGGCGCAGGAGTTTTGGTTATATACATTGATACTGATATACATGCTATGTCCATTATTATAAGATGGTGCAGAAGAGTAAAGCTTGATCCCATGACCCCAGGATATATTATTGTGGAGTTTACGACTGAAAACACACCAACTATTGACATTAGTTGTATTTGTTATATAAAACAGTTTTCTAGTGAAGGTATTGTCTAGAGTACTAAGGAAATTTACCAGACATAACAAAAATATCAGTTGTGGCTATCTTTTACAAGTACATTTTTTCTCTATATTAACAGCATCAGTTATTATTGATTTTGTTTTGTTCTAGAACACATTTGTCAAAGTTAAAACTGAACAAAGTGTTGATTCAACAAACGACGACATTATTTCCAAGTTCAGTGAGAGTGATGATGAATCTGTTGATTGTTCACAACATGATGTTATGAGTTTGAAAAGTGAACCAAAAGAAGAGTTTCAACAAATTAACTCTGAGTTAGAAGGTTTATCAGGTGAGTGTAAACTTCAATAACTATATCCATTAACCATGTGGTGGTAGACATACTAGTAGAAAAGTGGTGTTACTGTATTGTGTTAACCATATGATGGTAGACATACTAGTAGAAAAGTGGTGTTACTGCATTGTGTTAACCATATGGTGGTAGACATACTAGTAGAAAAGTGGTGTTACTGTATTGTGTTAACCATACTGTGGTAGACATACTAGTAGAAAAGTGGTGTTACTGTATTGTGTTAACCATACTGTGGTAGACATACTAGCAGAAAAGTGGTGTTACTGTATTGTGTTAACCACATAGTGGTAGACATACTAGTAGAAAAGTGGTGTTACTGTATTGTGTTAACCATATGATGGTAGACATACTAGTAGAAAAGTGGTGTTACTGTATTGTGTTAAGGAAATATATAAACATGTGCAAGGATTTACTTCAAATGTAGCACACAACGGATTTACTTCAAATGTAGCACACAAGGAAATATATAAACATGTGCAA